ATCCTCATATATCAAAATGCTGAAGCCGTTTAACGGGCGCAAGACGGATGAGAATTTCTTGAAGCTTCTGCTCAGACCCTTTCCGCTTTTCTTTCACCCTGCAATTCTTTGGGTAAGCACTCGCTGAAACAATACCTTGAGATCAGACCCTGACAGCCATAGGCTTGCTTAATCCAAGGTGTAATCATCGGCTGGACTGTCTTCATTGGTGTGGTACTAGCGGCCATCTTCTTAGGGCCGCCCTTGTGGTTCAATGAAGTCCAAACCGGATATCTGTACACAGGCGCTTTTGTCGGCTCTATTCTGGGCTTAATCCTCTCGGGCCTACTTTCTGACTCTATGAATAAGATCATGATCAAGCTTAACAAAGGAAGATATGAGCCTGAGTTCCGCATTCTCCTCGTTATCTTTCAGTTAGTTTTCAGCGGTGCTGGGCTTTACGGCTTCGGCATAGTGGCCCAGGATGTGGGCAACTATGGTTGGCTTGTGGTTGATGTGTTCTTCGCATTGGTAATTATCGGGATGGTCATGGGTGCGGTTGCCAGCGCGCTATATATCGTTGATGCCCACCGTGAGTGGTTTCCATCTTCTATTGCGGTTATTCTTGAGCGCTCTCGCTGATAAACACAGGCCAAATTGCGATAGAATCGTTCACATGCATGCTAATATTCAAGAACATATTTAGTTTTATACTAACATTTTTCGCTTATGAATGGTTGCTCTCGAACGGTATTAAGCCGGCATTCTTGGCCATATCTAGCATACAAATGGGGATTTGTGCCTTGAGCATCCCCATGTGTAAGTTTCATTGATCATGCGGATGTAAGGATGGTGAGCTAACGCCTGTTTATTAGATATCTTTGGTAAAAAAAACCGTTCTTTCTTCACACGTCACGATCTTCTAAAGATTCTGCATTTATGGTGATACTATGGTGTTGAATGTTGCGACTGATTGTATAGAGCTAGTTATTTAGAAGCGCGTTGTTTAATCCTAGGTGTTGGGGTCTTGTCCCCATGAGTGATAACCACCTTTTCCTTTGTTTTTCCCCCCGTCTTTCCTCTGGGAAATAGGAACTGGTTCCTTGTTTCCCCCTTTCCTTTCTTTCCCTTCCTATCTGGTGACATACAATCTGTTCAGTACTCTACAAACCACGGAGGTACATCAATGTATGTACTTTCGGTATTACATCGGTGGAGGGTCTAGGCCCTAGGGATCTACCTTACAAAGGGTCATAGACCAGTAAGATGTGCAGCCTCAGCCACCAGTTCGTAAGGACAACAGACAGAAAAGCCTAACTGAAACCTGTTAACCGGGTCATGTGATGGGAAAATTTGGGTCTCACCAGCAGAAAACCCCAGGGTGGGAGTGGACGGAAACGGAAAAGAGCCGAAAGAATGTGTCTCTTAAAATGCCGGGATGGAGGAATCATCAGTCGATGGGATGTAACCTTCTTCCTTCTTTCATCTCACACTGCTATTAAAATCGACGTCATGACTAGAGCAACGTGAGAGTCATCTCCTCAGCCTTACGCCGCCAAGCCACTCCAAAGCTAACCGGTGATCGTAGCATCCGTGGATCGATCTCTGCAACCAACTACGTCACTGGCAATATTATACTCTCGTCAAACTTCCGGAGCCTCCTTCCTAGAGTCTATCCCGTCACTTCCGCCCAATTGCTCGTTCTTTTCTCCTCCCTGCTGTCCTATTCTCCTCTTTTTCTATCTTTCTCGGGAATGCCTGTCTTCGCTGCAATCCCTTGCTTCCTGCAACGCGCTGCGGACACTATCTTATCATGGCAACCATTGAGCAGCCCCCAGTTCAGAGCATTCCGCGCTCCCGGTCAACACGGTTAGCGGACCAAGGTGAGTGACCTTTAGGCAGAGTTTCAATCTGCTTTGTCTTCGAATAGGACCTTTTGCGCTAACAGGCCTGTGGATAGCCGCGTCGGCGGCCCTTTACGTTACCCATCCTGAGCGAAGACTATCGGCTCGCGAGCCATCGGCGTTCGAGACTGATCTATCCAGTATGTATAACCGATCAACTTCGGAGTTCTCTAAGTGTGTAAGGTAATGCGAAGCTAACGGTTTATAGACTTGAAAGTGCCAGGCTCACGTCCGGGCTTCAGTCATGCATCGGCAGTGGCTGCTTTGGCACACGCGAAGAATAGACAGCTCGAAGCTGAGAAACAGGCAGCAGCAGCGTTCTATGCCCAAGATCATCATTCCGATATTTCGAGCTATGGTGGGAATAGAGCTGGAGCTTCCGCGCGCAGGGACCGTAGTTCAATATCGAGTTTGCCCCCGAGCACGGAGATCTCCGCGGCCGATTTAACACCAGAGGCGCGCCGCGAAATCTCCGAAAGAGAGAAAGCTATCCGTGCTGCTAGGGGAGCCCTGTATATTAATAGGAGGAGAGCCGAATCTGCACCTTCTGAAGCGCCCTACACAACTTCGGCGGGCCAACTCAGCGATCTTGACGCCGCAATGGAGGCTAGCCGAATTCAACACCTTACACATGTCAACCGTCGACTTTTCACTGCAACCCCACCTGTGGCCCCAGAGATAGAGGAGCAGAGAAGGAAAAGTGTGCTGCAGGCAGCTGCCGTGTCAATGGCGCGGGACATGTACAGCCTCACAGAAGCTACCGAGCCAGAGCAACTTTATCCATCCATTCCTGGCACCCAGGCAAACTATGGGCGGGTGCGTCCCAAACGATCAGTTAGTCGACCAGAAGCAGGAGCTGTTCAACGGGCAGTAAATCTTCAGGAGACCGCTCAGAAGCTTGCAGCAGAGAAACTGGCCAGCATGCAGGATAACACCGCAGTATACCGGGAATATTACCGACTTGAGCAGGAAGATACTCGAACCAGCGTACCTACCCGCAGAAGGAGATTGTCTATAGACTCAGATGCATCTGAATTCGACGTAGAGCGGTCCAGAGAGATCAGGCATCAGATGACTAGTCTCCGAACAAAGCTTGATGCGGTGGATGAACAGAGAGACAAAGATCGTGCTCTTTTAATGGAAGCTGCGAAGAAAAATGTCGACGCAGTTTTGCAAGACATGGAAATGCGCGTCTATGCTGAGACCGGGCGCGCCCCTGCTGCACTCCAGAAAGAATGGGAGGAGGCGGCGTTGGCCCGCGCGCGGAAGGACATGCAAGAGACTGACTGGCAATATACCTCAGGCGAGAAAGTCAACCTTGGGGCTCAGACATTTATTGATATGTCTGATGTGGAGGCACTTGCTCGTTCAAGGCTTCAGCCAACGTTTGATGAAATTACTGATCGCGCAGAGACGGAAAGAGCTAAGGAGTTAGAGCGGCGCTTGGATGAAGAGGAAAAACAGCGTCGTGAAGCTGTAGCTCGTCAACGAGAGGCCGACCTTGTGGCTGAGGAGAAGAGACAGAAAGGTTAGTGTTCTCAAGTTCGTCCTCGATACATCACATTGCTAATCTTAAATAGCTGCCATGAAACAAGAGTTGAAAGGCAGAGGGGAAAAGACATGGTTGTGGCGGAAGGCTAAGAGGACGCAGGAGCATGAGCCCACCATAGGAAAACCCACCGTAACTAGGGCTACCGAGGGACTCGAGGGTGCGGCTGAGGAACATGCGCAAAGTGCTCCACAAGAAACAGAGCAGCCACAGACTACGCAGGCAGGCAATGAGGCTACAGCATCGGGTGCCGTGGTAGATACAGGATCTACAGAGCCCATTACGAGAACAGAATCGAAACTCAAAACGTGGTTCAGTAAGTTGGGCGGCCGTCGCCCCAGTGCAGGCACAGGTGAAGCTCCAAAGGTAGCGGAGGGCAATCGCGAGACACCCTCAAACGCGGTGGAAGAGACAGCCCAGGCAGCAGAGGGACCGAATGAGTCAGTCGAGACAGCCGAAACCCCTGATGCAACTGATTTAGCCGAGGTGGATGGTGTTAACGAACGTGGTGCGCCTCTTAGGTCCAATCCTGTTACAGCTGATGAGCTGCAAGGAATGCAGAGAAAATCAGTGGATGCAGGTACGCTGGAGGCTACGAAATCTGGAGGGCAGGCAGTTGAGCCAGTTTCCAAGGAGAGTCCGGAGCAGAATGGTGATAAGCGATCTCGTCTGAAGTCCAGATTTTCGCAGATGGTCTCGAGGAACTCGCAAGATAAGACGGATGGAATTACAGATCATAATAAGGAGGCTGATGAAGGATCTGTGCCTGTCGAACATACTGCTGCGGATGAGTTACCTTCGCACGCTACTGAGCGAGAAGAACTACGTGAGAGTGCCGCCGATCAAGGATTGCCTGTTCCGCCAGCAATCGGAAAGCGAGCAAGCAACGGTACTACTGGTCGTGAATCACGGTTCTCCGAAGACCTTTGAAGATGTGATTGTATTGCTTTAAATTTTCTGTACATCTTTTGTCGAGGTTCTGGAACCCCGTTTGATCTTTTTAGTCTTGTTTGCGGTGTGGATTGTGTGCTTTTTGGAGTCGGGATTACTACAGGGGAATGGACAGGTAATGCGTTCTACAGGACTTTAGTACATATGAGGGGACATTCCTGGACTACTAATGTTCTAGCTTTTTTGCTGAGTTTTCCCATGACTTGATATGCAACCTAGTATGTGAAAATCACAAGTATCTAACAATACCTCTATCGTTATATATGTACGATTAATTGTACTCTTCTTATCAATCATGCAACTTCAAGCTGGGTGTATCCTATGCCACCCTGCTGTATCCACTAGGCGTGTCTTTCTCCCAAAAATTATCATGAGACTATGCAAGTAGTTCCCCCTCTCTGACGCCATTTCCAGTGTCCCGATTACGGAGAAAAGGAGATTATCTCAACAGATTGATCTTCCACCAATCCCTGTCCCGAACCGGGACATTAATATCGCGAGGGCCGAAGGGCACTTTCGAGGGAGGGCAGTGCTTTATATTATGGATGCTTTTCACTTGCATCACCTAATGACAATGCAAAATTCAAGAGCAGTGTCTATTGTAGCCAGCGAAGGATATGCGGTTATTCGGTTTTGTCTATCTGGTTTGGCTTGCTCTTCTGACGGGGACCCCACAGGTATCAGGAATCGAAAATGGGAAGACCACCGATGTGGCGTGGGACAAATACAGTCTGTCCGTGAAGGGCGAGCGACTTTTTGTTTTCTCCGGTGAATTTCACTACCAGAGACTCCCCGTTCCCGAGCTGTGGTTAGATGTTTTTCAGAAATTGCGTGCGAATGGATTTAACACCATCTCGGGTATGACAGCCCATCAGAACTAGAGAGATGCCATGTACTAATAACATAATGCAGTTTATTTTTTCTGGAGTTATCATAGTGCTTCAGAGGATGTATTCGATTTCACGACGGGTGCCCATGATATCCAGCGCTTATTCGATTACGCTAAACAAGCGGGCCTGTATGTGATCGCCAGGGCAGGCCCATACTGTAATGCGGAGACTTCTGCCGGTGGATTTGCTCTATGGGCCGCAAATGGACAGATGGGCAGTGAACGGACGAGTGATGAAGCCTACTATAAAAGATGGAGACCGTGGATCCTGGAGGTTGGCAAGATCATTGCAGCAAATCAAATCACCAATGGCGGCCCTGTTATTCTGAACCAACATGAGAACGAACTCCAGGAAACAACCTATGATTCCGATGATACCAAAGTCACCTACATGGAGCAGATAGCGAAAGCATTCGAGGAAGCCGGGATTGTCGTCCCAAGCAGCCACAATGAAAAAGGTATGCGCACGGTGAGCTGGTCGACTGACTATAATGACGTCGGAGGGGCTGTTAACCTGTATGGGCTTGACTCATATCCTGGAAGCCTCTCATGCACCAACCCAAACTCTGGATTTAACCTGGTTCGTACATACTACCAGTGGTTTCAGAATTACTCTTATACACAGCCCGAATATCTGCCCGAATTTGAAGGGGGTTGGTTTCAACCTTGGGGTGGGTCGTTTTATGACAGTTGTGCGTCAGAGCTTTCCCCAGAGTTTGCCGATGTCTACTATAAGAATAATATCGGCTCGCGCGTAACACTTCAGAATATCTACATGACGTTTGGAGGCACCAACTGGGGCCATAGTGCAGCTCCTGTCGTTTACACATCTTATGACTACGGCTCCCCTCTTCGAGAGACCCGAGAGATTCGTGATAAGTTAAAACAGACCAAGCTGATTGGACTGTTTACCCGAGTGTCGAAGGACCTGCTGAAAACGTACATGGAAGGGAATGGTACCAGTTACACTACCGATGACAGCATTTACACCTGGGCCCTTCGGAACCCGGATTCGGACGCTGGCTTTTATGTTGTGGCTCACAACGCAAGCTCATCACGAGAGGTCACGGCTTTCTCATTGAATGTAAAGACATCTGCAGGTATGTGCCTTATGCGAATGCCACTTTACACACTCTCTCTCTGACCTGAGTAGGAGCCATTACCATCCCAGATATTGAACTTGATGGCCGTCAAAGCAAGGTACTTGTCACAGACTACAGGATTGGCAGTGAATCCTCTCTTCTGTATTCGTCTGCTGAGGTCTTGACGTACGCAACGCTCGACGTGGACGTACTTGTATTCTACCTGAATGCGGGTCAAAAGGGTGTTTTTGTGTTCAAGGATGCACCGGCTGATCTTGAATACCAAACATACGGCAATTCAAACTTGAGTGCGTTGGAGACCAGCCAAGGCACACAATATTCATACGTCCAAGGAGAGGGATTAACAGCCGTGAAGTTTTCAAATGGAGTGCTGGTCTACTTGCTCGACAAGGAAACCGCATGGAACTTTTTTGCACCCCCTACTGTTTCAAGCCCGACGGTTGCTCCTAACGAGCATATCCTAGTTTTCGGCCCGTATCTGGTTCGGAAGGCTTCTATAGAGCATGACACTGTGGAGGTTATTGGTGACAACTCCAACTCCACTTCAATAGAGTACGTTGCGATGTCGAACCCGTTGTGTGTATCGCCACTAATCCTTTTACATTAGAGTGTACGCGGGCGATGAGCATGTCAAGAAGGTGAGCTGGAACGGGAATCTCATTGATACCAGAGCAACCCCATACGGCAGTCTTATCGGGACTGTTCCCGGAGCGGAAGATATAGAGATCTCCCTTCCTTCGCTTAGTTCATGGAAGGCGCAAGATACACTTCCTGAGATTAGTCCAGGTTATGACGACTCCAAGTGGACGATCTGCAACAAAACTACGTCGGTCAATTCGATCGCTCCTCTTTCTCTTCCAGTACTTTACTCTGGTGACTACGGGTATCACACCGGGACCAAGATTTACCGTGGACGATTTGATGGACAGAATGCTACCGGGGCCAATGTTACGGTGCAGAATGGCGCAGCAGCTGGATGGGCGGCGTGGTTGAATGGTGCGTACGTGGGAGGATTTGCAGGAGACCCCGACAAAGTCGCAAGCTGGGAGGTGCTCAAGTTCAACGTTTCGTCTCTCAGATCTCGCGAAAATGTGCTTACCATCATCACGGACTACACCGGCCACGACCAGAACAGCCAGAAGCCTATAGGTACCCAGAATCCGCGGGGGATCATGGGGGCCACACTGATCGGAGGAGGTAACTTTACGTTGTGGCGTATCCAAGGTAATGCAGGTGGAGAGAGGAACATCGATCCAGTGCGTGGCCCGATGAACGAAGGTGGTCTTTATGGAGAGCGGATGGGCTGGCATCTGCCAGGATACCAACCCCCTGAGTCAGCCTTGGACAGTAGTCCCCTACAAGGAGTACTCGGCGCTGAGGGGAGATTTTATACTACAAGCTTCCAACTAGATTTGGAGGAGGACTTAGACGTCCCCATTGGACTCCAGTTAAGCGCAGCGGCTGGAACTAAGGCGATTGTGCAGATATTCATGAATGGATATCAGTTCGGCCATTATCTGCCGCATATTGGACCGCAGAACTTATTCCCATTCCCGCCGGGAGTGATTAACAACCGGGGACAGAATTCACTAGCAATTAGCATGTGGGCGTTGACAGACGCGGGGGCGAGACTGGAGCAGGTGGAGCTGAAGGCATATGCAAAATATCGCAGTGGGTTCGATTTCAACCGGGATTGGAGTTATCTCCAGCCGGAATGGAAGGACCGGACGGAGTATGCGTGATTGATGCAAGTGAACTTGAGTTCAATGAAAGTTGCATAGCTTGGAAGGGTAGTACTACTACTATTATTATGATTATTATTTATTTATTTACTTATGTATTTCTATGAGAAAAAAGAGAGAGAGAGGGAGAAGAAAAAAGGGGATCAAACGGAAATCAAAAAAAGAGCCCCCGTTCCATTTAATATTTTTTTTTTCTCTCTCCACCGCCATTTGATGCGCGGCTCCACGCTGGAATCAAATGAATTTGATCCACGTCGCCTTGCATTTAAAGAAAGGTCTGCGCGCGTTGTATCTCAAATCTGACATAGACTACTTACTACCTCTTATTTTCACAATCACTACATACGATGTATCACTACTGTGTCTGATCTCAGTTCTTGCGCCACCTCGTTTCAGTCAGTTTCTTCATTCGTATATGAGAATCCACCTGGATATCAAATTCTTTCCCCAATTAGACCCGTGATGACCTCTCATCCGCGCTCCTCCAGCGTCGATCTGGACTCTCCCGATCGCCCATTCGATAACATCATCAACTTCCGTGATGTTGGACGTTCCATTAACCGACTCATGGGGAAGAAGTATGCCCATCACTGTTTAACCGAGCCTCTACAGGAAGGACGGACGACGATACTACTACCGTTGAGGGGCGTGAACTAATTGCCATGCGAATCGTACTATAGGATCTTGAACGAAGGTGTTTTATTTCGCAGCGCAAGGGTAAATCAGTCCATCAACTTTTCCAGTTTTCTCGTATATAAATCCAATAACTTGTTATTGATGCGTGTAAACAATTCCAGCTAGATGATGCCTCGGAAAGAGATAAACGGCGTTTAACAGATGAACTTCATATAGCTACTGTTATTGATTTGAGGTCTACGTATGTCCTTTTTCTTTGCTTTCTTTCTTTCTTTTTCTTACTTACCTACCCACCGCCCCCAACTTTATTTCTCCGCCAAAATATCATAGTAACCTACTTGTATTCTACATGATATTATCATTTTTTAATATATGACAAGTCATGACACTGGAAATGCTAATGATCCTCAGAACGGAACACCAAATGGCTACCGCCAAACTCCATGCCGAAATGGGAACTTCTGCTTCCCCTAATAATCACACACACCATTTGTTTCAATTGCCTCCTGTCCGCCGGCAATTGATTAGTCTGACCGGAAAAGCTTTCGAGCGATCATTGCTGTGGCGATTGGATTGGTGGAATTTCTTGTATGGATCAACAATGAAAAAAAGAATTGGAACGGGGAAACTGATGAAGTTAACAGCAAGGTCCTTGCTCTCGCGGCGTCCGGTTACCGTAATGATGCAGTGATTATTGTCGGGGAACAAGTCATGTCGCCGCGGGGTCTGATCGGATTGGGTCTGGATACCCTCGATAGCAGCACGGCGGAGATGAGGGAGATCTTTGAGCTCTTCGCGTCGCAGAGGGACGGTGGGGACCGAACGTATCCGGTGCTGGTGCATTGTACCCAGGGAAAGGACCGTACGGGACTCGTAGTTTTGATGTTGCTGCTTTTGACGGGCGTTGTGAGTGACGAGGCTATGACGGCGGATTATGTGCGGTCGGAACCGGAGTTGGTGGTTGAGGTGGAGGAGCGGATGAAGGAAATTCGGAAGTTGGGATTGTCGGAGGACTATACCAAGTGTCCGGATGGGTTTACCATGGAGATTAAGAGGCATCTCCAGGAGAGGTACGGAGGGGTGGAGGGGTATTTGAGGTTTGTGGGGGTTGAGAACAAGAGGTTGGATGTGATTCGAGAGGCCCTGGTTGCTTGATCTCCCTGTGTTTTCAACTAGTCGGCTGGTGTTTGGCGTTGGTTGATATTGTTGTTGCATGTACATGATAAACCTTGATGTTGACTACTAGATAATGTTAATGATAGACGATACGGTTCTTTGATCATGTCAATTGTTATATTAAAGTAACCGGTATATTCACACACATTAGAAGGTATATTGAAGACCCAAAATAAAAAGCCAAACAAGGATCGTATACATCACTGAAATCAGCCCCACCGAGGTATATAGCACACATACATAACCCTAATGCACCGTAAATGCAAACCAAATCTAAACAGTAAAAAGTTTATCAAGCAAGCCGATCACATGCGTTGTCCACGGTAGTAGCTATAATCCATATTAGGCCCGGCTGAGTCGGTCGTTAATGGCTCTTCAATCGTGGCGTTAGGCTGAGCCATGCCATTCTCCATCTCAGACCTCACGATCCGCTTCTCGCCCTGTGGAACGTGGCGGCGAGTGCGCACCGATGGTAACAGATCGACAACGAAGGACAGAACATAGAATGTGAAGATGAGGGCGATTACTGCGTCCCGTGGTTAGCTGGCTTAGCTCCCGTGTCCATATCATCAAGCTTCAAGTATCACATACCCCATTCCAAAACAGCCGCTGCGTTTCTCTTGCTGGGACCTTTCTTGCCGAGGACGGCAAATGCGATGGCGAGGGCGATCTCGATAATAATGAACATGAGTTTAATTACAAAGCTGACGAATAGGACCCGATGCTGAGAGCGGTAGAAAATGCCCAACCGGAGGTACTCGGCGCAAATCAGAATCGCGCTTATGATGTAACCAACCCTATAACCGTCAGCATTCTATTTGTCTGACTGTTTTATCGCTGTGTTGGACTTACAAGAACATGACCAGGAACCCATCGTGCATGTCCGGGTGGCGCACTGTATCGAAAATCGACAAGAGAATGAGCCCCAAGGCGCCTGCAATCGAGAAGAATATGGAAAGAATGGCGCAGGCTTTGTCAAATCTGCCTTTGTTCGGCACCAATTGACCGGCGTGTCGCAGCCACCGTTCGGAGATGAACGAGAGATCCAGGAATACAACCGTTATCACACTTCCGGTGATGAACAAAGGTTTGAGGCCCTGTGCGCCAATATCGGAGATGTACCTATTCAACTGCGGTTAGTATCCGATCGTACCCAGGTTATAGACAACGCCATACGCAATTGTTTGTCCCTCTTCCATACTAGAATATACCGGCGTGCCCTGTACCGCCCAATTCCCTAGCATTGCAAGGAGCATTGCTAGTCATCGTTACTATCTCGTCACGCACTCAACCAACGACAGAGCCATACCTATCCACATGAAGGCCGATATGACCGGAAAAATCCAGAATGAAATGATCCACATTATGACCACCCCTCGCTCCTGACCCTCTAATTCGTTCTATATGTGTATGCTGTCGAACCCAAGGAGAACGCTTATAATTTTCAGAAAGTGGTACAATGACTGTCTTAAACTTTATATGTCAGTCCATATATTCTTACTAGAGATAATGTAGCGCGAGAAAAAAATAAATAAATAAATAAGGAGTAGAAATCCAGCAGGCAGTAAAACATAAGCGCCGGAAACTGCGGAAGTGGCTTAGACGAAACTTACACAATGATGCCTAGCGTGCAACTCTCGGCGCTGATGCCGATACTTGTGGCGGTTGATAAGTTTTACAAGTGGTGAAAATATGTCCAACCCACGCGCTTGTAAGTAGGGATAGAGATATACAGCTACAAGGGTAGCAGTAAGGGGCAAGGAGCCGTGGTGGGTACGGTCGGGAAATGAAGGGAAAAAAAAGGTATCAACGCAATTGATAATCTACTATTTTTAATTTATATAGCCAGGAGGCTATGAGGCTGGGAGAAACGAACGAACAATAACCAGTGGCCAAAAAGAACCGTCGATCGGCCTTTATCATGCAATAAGAGGGCCCCTTCAATTGGCAATAGTGAGGGAGGGTTGGGGGAAAAGAGAGCGACTTAAGTACTATACTTAGTTTTACTACGTACTGAAATTTTCCGATGACTTCACAGTCCCGACGTCCGTCGACGTCATTACCGGAGATCTCTTAATTCCGAAGATCCCCATAAGTCTATCCATAGATACTTACAGTCACATACCAAGGTACAGACAGGTTAACGTAAGCTCGTGGCCGTCAAAAATGCCTTTTTATCCCCAAAGCCCCATTCCCCCACCTAAGATGTTAATGGCAAGGTGTGGCATACTGAGTAATGTTCTATACCCCATTTCCCGAAAACTTACGGAGTATGAGGTAGTATGAGTCAGGAATGTAAAAGTTCTGAACTATGAATCTCGAAATGTATGACAATAGTAGTAGTATTACCGCCCGCCCTACTATAAATAGTCTTGTTATGCATTCATTACTCTCCGTCTACGTCGCTCACAACTTCTGGACAAAACCATGATATTATCAGGCAAAAGGGAAAAAATGAAAAAGTCTATATTATTCATCAATACTGAACTCCATTACGTCTGTTGCAGCAAAGCCACAATGGTTCCAAATTCCACCCAAGCAATAACCCAAGACAAACCAAAGAGACTGTTCCCAATAGACATCAAGAAGGAGCACAACACTGGGGAACTTCAGAATCTAAAAACGGCGGCGGCGTTGACGGTTTCCTCTGCCGGTTGCTGTACGACCCGTCGGCACTTTGTGTTTATCTACATTCACGCTATGTACTCGGCTATCGTCATCTGAATCGCTTTCCTCGTTATCGTCGTGTGACGGAGATCGAAATGGAGTCTTCCGAGGGGTGAATGAGCCCCGTACACTGCTAGGGCTAGCGACGGCTTGGTATGTTGACATGTAGGACGGTGGTCGCCGAGTGGCTCCCTGCAGAGGATCCACTGAACTACGCCTTGCGTGCAAATGTTGATCTCTTGAATAAGGAAGCTGATACGGAGGCACCCAGCCGGGGCCATCCGAGAGAGGATATGCGGAGGCTGTACCTCTTAAGGACGCTTGCGGGGATATAGTGGAATGCCGCTCAGAATATCGAAGTGAGGACTTAGGGGATGAAGTAGGCGGTTGAGATTGTCGAGACGAAGCACCGGAGCTGCGGGCCCAACTGCTGCCGGCGAGTCGATATGGCGCGGTCTGTCCGCACTGCGATATACTAAATCCGCGTTGCTGTACGTCTGACGTGGAGCTATCCCTTGACCTAGAACCCTTAGTAGTGGGCTTCCGACGTTCAGGATCCCTCTTGCTACCGGTCTGCATTCGTTTTCGTTCCAGTGCCCCAAGTTCTCGTTTCGATAATCGGACATTTTTCTGTCCCAACATCTGCGCGCGTCGGATCCGTTCCAGGGCATGTTCCACGTGCCATTCCTCTTCATCTTTCAAGGCCAGCTGAACCGCATAAGCTACCGTACTATCCTCGCCTTCATGCAAGCTATAATCCATACCATCGACAAACCCGGTCCCATCAGAAAACTCGTCATATTCCAACATCTGTTTCCGCCATCCTAAGATTTCATCCATGCCCATACCAGCCAACTGTTTTGTGTAAAAACCCCAGTTATCCTGCAGAAGGTACTCGTCGTCACTGCTAATCTCCTGGATCCGTGCGTCACCATCCACCCACGGATCCGCCCATCTCCTGGTTTGTCTCCCCCGTTGTGCCCCTGGTGGTCTTCCCCATCGGGGCATACCGTAAGGAGTTCGCGGCCGACCACCTAGACCGCCTCCTCTGAAAAAGCATTCTCGATCGGTTTATCCATAAAAGCGGCGTGGCCAAAGACACACACGCCGGTAGCCCCAATCAGCCACAGTACGGTGCTGATGGGAGAAGCCAAGAAGCCGAGGGGGACCGCCACAATCAGCAATCCGGTGTAAAGCTGCGAAGTGTTGAACCGGGCAAATCCCAGATCTAGGTCGCGGCCCTGAAGCTTTCCGATCCCGTACAAGCCACCGGTAACCAGGATGATCACGAAAAGCAACATAAAGTTTGTCAGCAAGCTGTAGATGCTGAGCATCACAAAGACCGCAGCATAGTTGCTAGAAAAGTAAGAGAGGTTGTAGTTCACACGGCTCTGAACCTCGCCGAAGTTGGCCGGCTTGGAGACCCGTTTGACATCAAAAAACTCGGAAATGGGCCGGAGGTTGGCGAATCGAGAGCCTAGGGATTGGGATCGGAGGCTGTTAAAGCGCTCACCGAAACGCGAGGTAATCGCATCGACAGGAATCTGAATTGGGCTCATTATGATAATTGCGAAGGAATTGGGATAATCACGGAAATGATGGTGATTGAATAGGAGATAATCGGAACTCTTAAGTTCATGCGAAAGGGATTTACGAGCTGATGTGCGTGGAGGAGAGCCAGAAAGTGATCAAGGCAGACCGAAGAAGGGAATTCCGAGGGAGAAATAGGGGAAAGTATAGGTAATGGTAATGGTTTAGTTGGCCCGAAAAGTGCTGAAGAAAAAGTAAAAGACGTTTAACCCTTTCGGTCGGTACGTATTTTTGTCTGGACTTTTAAATGGACCGAGCCAAATAAGCACAGACGATCCAGCCGCCTTGCAAGGCAGCCACAACTGGAAATTTCGATCACCCTTTGGTGATCAAGGGAGAGATGGTCGGTCTCCCTCGGAGAGGAAATCGATTGTAAGAAAAAAAGAGGATGACAGTGAACGAAAGGAAGAAAGATCTTGTCGACATCTGACTCATAAAGAGAGAGGGAAATAGTATGTTAGATGTGGTTCCCCGGATTCATGGGCCTTTGCTTTCACCGCTAAGAATAGAAGTGGATTTTGGCTGACACCGGATTGGGTTTGGAGACAAAGACGAAGACGACCAGTTCCAACCACGGTCCAGAGGAGATGGAGGGTTGATTTTCACGTTGCAGTAAGAGCGACGGCCATCTCGTCACTTCGATCCGGCGCCCTCTCTTACTCCATCATCTTCAAATCCACTACTACTGGCGGTGGTATGTATACTAGTACTTCAGGCACTGGTACTGGTACTCGGTACTGGTACTGGTCCATACAAGACAGGTACACCCAGAGAAGGGAGAAAGAACAACAAGCTTGAACAGGGACAACGCTGCATTTATTGTAAACCCAGTACTCCCCCTCCTACTCCTCAGAATCCCTTATAGCGAATGGATTTCCCGCTCGGACTATCCAAATGTCTTTCTCCTCCTCAACTCTCGCCTTACTTTTCAACAAATTTATGTGACCGTCATTGGTCCACGTCGTTGTCCTGCGGAAGGTGGATCGTCCAATCCGGGTTTTGTCACATTGGGTAGCCATGGATGGACCCATCATTCACCTTCCTGGTTCTGTACCGTACGGAGCATATCAATGTTACCTGACCGCCTTGGTGCCTGATGACAGATCATAGCTTAGCTTATTTGCCTGAGGATGATACGGTAACATAATCGAATAGGAAATGTTCGCCAGGAAATAATAATCCTCCACAACTCATAGTTTGTGTATGTGTGTGTTGGCTTCCCTGAGTGATACCCCCGCGCTAGGTACTCTCCTTCCAATTGACTTCGGGTTTAGCGGCTTGACCGCTCCCCTCATTGCCAAAAGATGAAGTCCACAGCACTCCGCTTGGTCGTGTTTGCTGTCCTGTTTGTTCTTGCGACGGCCTGGACTAAGGAAGGTCAGCTACCCTGCTTTCCCTTGTATAACTAGTATACTCTAACCGCAATTCATCTCTAGACTATGAAATATTCTCCCTCCGCGATGAAGTTGCCGCGACGGAGGGTACAAATGTGACATTTTACGGTGCGCTACCCTTCTATCCCCCCTTTTCCCCGAAATGTACAATGTTTTGATAATTATATCGACAGATTTCCTCGGTATCCAACCCAACGCCAACCAGGATGACATCAACAAAGCATATCGCAAGAAATCTCGCCTCCTACACCCGGATAAAGTCAAGCGATCCTTCATCGCCAATGCTTCCAAGGATAAATCCCGAGCCAAAAACAAGAAGCCGGGCATCCACGTCAATCAGGGCCCGAGTAAGCGAGAGGTTGACGCCGCTGTGAAAAAAGCTCATGACCGTGCTTCCCGCTTGAATACTGTTGCAAATATCCTTCGTGGGCCGGGCCGAGAGCGTTACGACTACTTCTTGAAAAATGGCTTCCCCAAGTGGAAGGGTACCGGTTATTACTATTCCCGCTTTCGCCCGGGGCTAGGATCCGTCTTGACTGGCCTGTTTTTGGCTTTTGGAGGTGGTGCTCATTATGCTGCTTTGGTTCTTAGTTGGAAACGTCAGCGCGAGTTCGTTGATCGGTATATTCGTCAGGCGAGGAGGGCTGCCTGGGGAGATGAGCTAGGGGTTCGTGGTATTCCAGGCGTGGATTCTGCCAATGTTACCCCACCTGCCCCAGCCCAAACACCCGAAGCGGAAATGAGTGCAATGCCCATCAATCGCCGTCAGAAACGCATGATGGATAAGGAGAATCGCAAGGAAAGCAAAAAAGGAAACCGGGCAAGTTCCCGAAACTCTGGTACCGCGACCCCCACAGGCGAACCCGTGGAGTCGTCCGGAGAGAGGAAAAGAGTGATCGCGGAGAATGGGAAGGTCCTAATCGTTGATTCCGTTGGCAAAGTGTTCTTGGAGGAAGAAACGGAAGATGGCGAGCGGCAAGAATTCCTACTTGATATCGATGAGATACAACGCCCAACGGTGCGCGACACGATGTTGTTCCGGGTACCCGTCTGGTTTTATCATAAAACTGTTGGCAGATTGCTCGGACCTTCTAGCGCCCCAGGTGACGAGATCGTCGATGAGGAGCCGTCCGATGTACTGGAACAGGCTGTTGAACAAGCCAACGACTCTGCCGTGACACCTAAAAGTCGAGTATCAAGAAGACGAGGAAAGCGCTCTCAGAAGTCTTGACGTGACTGATATAGAAAGCATTCCGTTTTCTGTATGATTACTCATTATCTTCTAGTTTCGGATCATCGATGCTTGTCTTCCAGGAGAGTCGTAATCCCAAACATGTATAAATATCTGTCCGGCTTTTTAGGTGGAGAAATACATGCCTTGGAGCCCTTCGCAGTCAAGTGCACCAGGAGTAGATACTGTTAGATTCAAACAAACCACTTTAGATGTACCTGCACACGCCTAAAAACGAGAGAAGGAGAAGAAGAAGAAGAGACCCTCGGTAGAATTGCAACTAACCCTCCAATATCGCACATAATAAGTCGAGAAAAACGAAAGCGAATATCAAGTACCAAAAGCCAAGTATATATCATGTCATCATTGTCATTATGCTCATAGATGTCTTTACCTTTCCGCACACCCATCGTACCATTCATTTCTCAGCCAAGCGCTCCGCTATACCACATAGCCTAAATCGAGACATCGCGCCTTTCGCTCCTTACATGATCATCTTCGCAATGCTCATCATAGATTTCAAGTTCTCCATCATGCCACCCTCTCGAGATTGTCCACCTTGACCGCCAAAGATGTTCTTGGGCAGACGAATGCCAATCATGGCGAACAGTTTCTGCAAAACACCGCTTGTAAGAAGCGGTATGAGAACCAGGAGTATCACCTTGATTGGGTGCTCACGGGCATATTTGTAGATGTCACGTAGCAGTCGTTTAATGATATGGACTACTTTTTGGACAAAGCCAGACCGAGGTCGTGCTCGTCGCGACGAGGAGGACGAGTAGACCGATGGACTGGATCGGCCGGCGCGGCTACCTCCGCCGTTGAAACTAACGAATGAAGGAGCAGAGTGCCGGGAATGATGGGTGGAATACGTTGACCGGCGGGAGGGAGAGCGTTTACGTCTCGAGTGAGAAGAGGAAACGGACGATTGTGTATCAAACCAGCCCATTGTCTTCGGGTAAACCTTTCGGTTCGCTTACTGCGTATGCGAAAAACTGGGAAAGAGGGGGGGGAAAAGAGATCGTGCGAAATGCTTCCCTTGTCCTGAGGGCAAGACGGGTGGAAATGGTTTCAGGGAACGTGCGTGCGTGTCCTCGTATGTAGCTCAATTGTGGCGACAATGCCAGTAGCTAGTTGCGGAGTTTGGTCGCTGCAGATGCGCACAATTCCAGATTCTAGGCTCTTTGCTGCAGCGGCTTTGTCTCCACCGCTGGAGTCTAGAAATGCTTAGGCTATGTGGATGATTGAGCAGAGAAAATCCAGGAACTTGTTCCACTGCAGTGATACGGAGACGGAAAACAAGAACGCCCAAAACGATGTTGGTACTGGGCTCAAAAGAACCAGAACCAAGTCTTGATGGCGGGAAAGGCGGGAGACTGGTAAGGAGAGGCAAGAGAAGGAAATTAGATTGGAATGAAAGTGGAATCGATGTGTGGACAGTGGACAGACTAACTTTCAGCAAAAGACATACTCTTATGCAACAAAGTGGGTGGCTGGAGACTTCGGGCGCTCCTCATTGGTGGTGATGCCCAGGAACCTCATCCCGTGCGCGGGTTCATGAACTTCACTGCAAAGGAACAAACAAAAGAGAAATTCAACGATAGTAAGATGATATTCATATCCACTGGAGTGCTGCATCAGCCCCCTTTGCCTATACTCATTGCTGTTTCCAATGTATGTGTACCGACTACTAGCACTAATAGTAGCACAGTCAAAATGCGCCACCACTTTTCGCAGCCCAGGAAAGTCATTCTGGATAGCTTCCCAGAATGGCTTTCCACCAATCTGCATATCTTTGAATGCGGGACATGAGAAGTTCAACAGCGGTGCGGATATTGCATCATTGATCATATCCAATGGTATAGACAAAGCCTTGTACAGCCCTGCGAGCGCGTTAGGGCTGAGGAACTTCAGGACTTCAAACGCAAAGCAGAGGAGGTTGTTTTCCTCCAAGAGGGTGGTTAGGTTGAAGGCGCCACCTGTTGCACCAGATGAATTGACTCCTATGAAACTGTTGATGTTTCTAGTGTTTCCTCCAATACTAGTCTCATGAATACTTGTCGGGAATCCTGTCGACAGAAGCAGATGCTCACCTTCCGAGCTCGGGAATCGGGATACTTCAGGAGCCAGTCGAGGGTGTCAAGGTTGAGTTGCACCAAACCATAGTCTACTGGAGCCTTGTACCAGTTCTCAGGGATTCTTTCCCACCCTTCCCGATAGGTAAAGTTGCCGTGGATGACAAGGAAATTACGAACTATTTCTTTGGCTGTTCAACGGTTAGTTCCCAAGCTTTCGAGGTTGACTGCCAGTCTTAAATCTTATTCAGAATGCCCTCTGGATTAACTTGTGAATAATTTCGAAAAAGTCTTGCCGGAAATAGATAACCGGCGTTGCGCGCAATCAACCCAGTCACTGGCCCGTAGTAGAATTCAGGATTGGTCTGCTTGGTTTGATCCATACGAATCTTCGCTCATTTTGCCATCAGGTCCATGCTGAATGTGCCATCCATGGACATGTTGTACCATTCCGTGAACTTGCTCATGTTGAGAGTGTGGTTGTTGCCGGTTGTATAGAGGTCAACGCGCGTATTGGAAGAATCAGATTCAATGACATTGTGGGAGCCAATGAGGCCTTGTGGCTTGCCTGTGACAATTTAGAGATTGCTCCCAGTTAGATATTCGGTAAGGGACGAACCAAGGAGACCCCCAAGGTTCCCTAGAGGATTGCTCACGCCTGTACCCCTTCCCTCAATGGAAAAGCTGGGGTCTAAAGACTGTGGATTCCCTGTCCAAACCGTAACCCATCGCGCCGAGGATCGTCGCAAGAGCGACTCCCATCCCGTATACTATAGTCATTAATCTGGTAAATTTGGCATCTAGGAAGCGGATATAAGCCTACCTTCATTGATGGCAGCAATCACGTCGGTGAACTATGATTCACCAGATATAAACACATGTGGATCCTTATACACGCAGGCTTTTCACTTACAGGTACGACACCGCTGCGAGGGATATATGCATGGTTCGCCAAAGCGTTCAAGCCAGGACAAGGTCCACGCTGATCACATTTCTCAAAATCTGGAGGCTGGAAGGTATGCTCCCTAGTGACTTCATTGCAATACTCTTCAGCGACACCCATACCTGGTACATGTGGGAAAGACCTACTATCAATTGGAGAGCTCATAGAATCTATCAGCAAGCGCTTATGCACACCCGCCTTGACTGCATATTGTATATTTGAATAGGGGCATCTCTTTTCAATATGCCCCATAGTTCTCATCTTTTCGAGCAAGTCCTTTTCTGTAGGGAGACCTGTGATCAAGGATCCCAGTCCTAGAGTAATCAAGGGCAGAAATACTTTAGAAGTCCTCATGGTTTGAGCAAATGACGACGACAGATAATTCAAAACGAGGGACCAAAACGACAGGCTCAAAGAAAGATTGGCTCAGAGGCGAAATAAAGGAATGTACTGTATTTAGCGGTCATATGTTAATGCCGAACGTATAAGGGAGAAAGGAGTGCACAGGGGAGCAATGCAGACTCTCAATGGTATGTATATTGATGGATCATTGGCCTTTATAAGATGTACTTACATAATATTTCGCTTGCTGGAAGTCAAAGGACGACTTTTAGTTACTGATTTCCTTCCCCTGAGTCGTCGTAAATACCGAGCTTGGAGTAGCTTCCTCAAAGAGAAACCGTTAAACTACGAACTAGTATAGCTTCCCCTGACCTATCCCAACAACACCCCCCC